CGTTGCCTCGTGAGACGAGTCTCTTCAAGGAATCCGCTTGCATTGCACTTCGCAGGCGCAGGAAGCTTAGACCGTCTACAAATTGTAGGCGTTGGTAGACTTTCCATTCGGCGGAGCAACTGGATGACGTCTTGAAGACTGGATCGAGTCAAACTAACTCGAAAACAGTTGAGGGTAAGTACTAAAGCTTGGATAAAGAAGAGCCAATGTTTTCGCGGACTAGCAAAACAGTTTTAGAGCAAATTAGTTAGGTAGACGTAATGTCGACAAACCACGGGCATCGTAACAACTGGAACAGCAAGAAAACAATGAATACACTGGAATATCCACACAAGATGACAAAACAGCATCGACTTGTCATCACATCTGAGTTGGTCAAGAGCATTATAGTGCAGGTAGCATAGAGGATAATCATAGAGTTGGTATGTACCACACTGGTGAATAGTGGTTTGAGTTTGGAAGCTTTAATTGATAGGTTGATCGATCGATCCATCGATAAACAAAACCCGTTCAATTCTTTTAAGTCAGTATGGAATGATTTCGCTAAATAACTTCACACTGTATTTGTTTTTTCCTGATTCACTGACTCACTGGCGTGGCACATACTCATGCAACAATTATTAACTCTGAGGTCGGTGAATAATTGTTTATTTATTTAAGACGTTCTTTTAGGTAATATTAAGTCTTTTTTTATAAAATAATAACAGAAAGGTTGTTGTGGTTGTCCTTTTTTGGCACGCGCGCGCCGATGACTTTTGTTAGACATGGGAATATAACACACCCCGGCACTGGCTACAATGTCTGTTTCCATAGTGAGTGGACTCACAATTGTATATGCCATAAAAAATACTCGCCTGATTTATTCTCGTACTTAAAAAGATATGAGGAACAGACAGTGTGGACTGTAGTGCGGAGTGGGAGATTATTCCAATGTTAGACAGCCTTGTCTCGCCTCTGCTTCGGCTCTGTGAACGTTTCGATTCGGATCCTTTCGGAACACTTCGGTCGATGATCGGTTGTCGGCTTGACGACAAGGGCCTGGTATCGTGTTTTTCTCGATAGCAGGCGAATTGAAACCCAGCAGCCCTGGGTGTTCTACAAGCAGTGTGACGTCGACACAGAAACATTCTTTGTATTCTGGGCACAATTAAAAAAAAGATAGGAGCGCACCCCTCATAGATTACTTTAGGTCCTGTGACATAATGTAAGCTGATGTACCTACAAATATTTTAAGAGTCTTTGGAAAATTGTAAGTATAGTAAAAACTTACTTTTATGATGACTCTTTTCAAGTATTGCATTCATTGTGTTCGTATCCTATTAGAAGGGTTATTAGGCCCAAAAACGATTAGCCCAACACAAGACTTTGGAAATAAAAATCCTCTTTAAGCAAACAGTGCGTTCTGTATTTGTGTGTTCCTTTTCTCTGGATAATAAATAGCTATCTCTACAGACGAAAATTTATATATTTAAGACCCTTTCTTGGCTAACTTGTTTTAACTTTTTCTTTTTTTTTTTCTTGGCTAACTTTTTCTTGGCCAACTAGTTTATATCGGACTGACAGGAGCAACATTGCTTATACAGAGACTCTCGCTAGCTTAACAGTAACACTAACACAGATTTTATTATGGACCATTATGTATCTGCACCGAAAGGCTTTATGGGACGGTGTTTTTAACGCGTAGGAAATTTGCCTCTTGAAAAAGTGTGCATAATCAAGAATTTTGGGGAAGAAAAATTGGACTTAAATTACTTGTAAACCCCTTAACAGTAATTTTCCAGGCTCAAACTGGAGTCTTATGTGATGCGGATTGAACAGAACGAAGTTTATGAGAAGGTATGAGTCACTTAAATTTTGCGTGTTTTTACGACAGCTGGGGCCCGAATTTGTGAGTTTTGGCGGGTTATAGATTAAACGACGAATTATTAAGAATTTTGATTTTTCATATTGTGTCACCACTGACTGGCTCCATGTTAGTAGAAATTTCCTCCTAAAATTTGTTTCCTCCAGTCATGTCCTTTGAACCAAATGAAGCGCTTTACTTTAAAGAAAACTAATTTTACCTCGGTAGTCAAGCGGCTTCGGTCAAGGTTGGGCTTTGAAAGACGGCAAAGCTTTGACAGAAGTGATCATTAGAACAGGTGATTATGGGAAAAATGTAGAGTTGATGGCTTTATCCTCTGAAACGTAAAACACAATAAATAGCGGAGAATAACTAAACATTTTCATAGGTGTGAAAGTGTTAACAAAATTTCAGTCGAAAATTGGACGTTATAAAGGGAAATTTAAGTGTTGGTTTGTTCGCTACGGCCATGCCAGTTTACGTAAATGTCAGAACTGGATTTTGTAAACTAATTTGTTTCGTCGTTGAACGAGAAATGGTTGACAACTTTACTTCAAATTGAATCGCATCATTGAAGCGAACAGTGAGACGCAAATTATTCGAATTTTTCAGTTGGAAAACAAACCTAAAAGGAATCGATATATTTTGGATTTTTTAACCATTTTTGATGAACCTTATTCCCACATCGCGAAACAATGAACTAATTGTATTCTAAAGTGGTAAAACAAATTGAAAAACTGGTGTTTTGTTCATTTCTTAGGGTTAATGGAGTTGCCAACTGGGGGAGCACGTGTCAGTTTATGAAATCCACCAAACCGTAATCACTCTTGACCTATAAAATAACAGACTTGTAGCCCTAAATATTTCACACCAGTGACACTTTCAACTGACACTTCAAGTATCAAGGTGTGAAATGGTTCAGACTGTAATTAGCAATGCGATAAAAGCCAGACCTAGCACTGAGTTATTTGTTTGTGGTAAGTTTAAAGAAGTTTATATTTTTTCAATGTTCCACTGGAAATGAAATATCGTAATTTATTTTACAGTATACCTGAAATACAAAATAATACCCTGAATCGGTGCCACATGTTACTGGTAGCGAGGGCACAGTTTGCAACACTTCAGTGAAGTTTTTGTTTTGGAGAAATTTTGAAAACCGCTCTAAAGTTAAATAGCATTATGAGTATCTAAGAGCTCTGAAGAAAGGAATATCGGAGGAATTGGTTACCGAGTGACTGAACACGGTCCATGGATGAATATTCATGTTCCTTCCAGTTTTACTTTGCTTTTGCTATCTGCACTTGGACTATTTTTAGTCGTCTGTTATCATGTTCGAGTTATCTCCTTCGCAAGTAATTTATATACGTTAAATAACGATGGATTTGACCACGGGTCGTTGAATCAAAAAGGAAAAGGTATCGTCTATCTCGTACAAGCGGAGTGTTGCCTGTCTGAACATTTCTCGTCGTTTATAAAACTTGACAGCCGCGCCGCACGAGATGTTTTGGTATTAAGCTGGGGGAGACAGTGTTTGGACTCCTCGAGAAATTTAAGCAGTGTGGTCTATGTTGACGGCAAGAACACTTCATGGAGTGCCGGACGAAATATTCTTTATCAATTGGCTCTGAAAAGGAACAAGAATTACCTGTACTTCGTGTTTATGGATGACGATGTCGAATTTTCCTTTACGTCAAACATGACACAAGACATCGGTTACAGCAAAGGAACTAGAGATCCACTTCAAGCTTTTGAAAACTTTCTTTTAGGTTACGAGCCTGCAATAGGTCTGTGTAATTACTGTAGTCGCTGTGGAAAGCTCGTGCCAAACGGCTCTTACGTTCCCGGGCTTTGTTGCTCGCCGCGCACCGCCGCAGGTAATCTCCCGCCAATTTTACCGGCGACAATCGCGTTTGACGCCGCTGTCAATGCCTTCCACACCAAAGCGATTCAGCATCTCTTACCTTATAGACTCGACTACGAGGTGATAAGCTGGTGGGAAAGTCAAAAATATGTTATTTTAGCGTCAGATATTATATTTCGTGGTCAAGTCGTTCGATACACATCAGTGACGGCCATAAACAACGAACACAGAGATTATCCTCAGCTACCTCTGGACAACTGGGCAGATATACTGCGAGATGTAAGAAAAGAAGTACCAGAGAAATATAAAAACCTCAACGTCTTCAAAAGAAAGCCTGAAGTTGACATGGTTCCGAAAATCATTGGAAAAATCCTATACACACCGCAATGGAATATTTCCATTCCCGAGCCGAAAACTCCCATTGTACCATACAGCCATCTTGATAACTTTTGACAGCAAAAGAGTGAAAAAAAAAAATGCATTTCTACAGATGCAATTGAATTGACGGACAAGAAACTGCCTAAACGCTGTCCTGGGAAACCTCGGCCAGAGATTGATAAAACGATATTTTCATAGATTTATATTTACATATTTATAGATGACTGATATTTTCGTAAACTTCCAATTTTAAGTAACAAGCTGTCATTAATTTTTTCTAAAAAATTCCAGCAATAGAATCGGAAGATTTGATTTACTCATAATCAGTTTTTTCATTTTTTTT